GGGATGAGGTTGGATGGGACCATCTGGTCCAAGCCCCCTGCCGAGCAGGGTCACCTAGCACATGCTGCACAGGGTGGCATCCAGGTGGGTTTTGAATATCTCCAGAGGAGGAGACTCCACAGCCTCCCCAGGCAACCTGTGCCAAGTGCTCTGCCACCCTCCCAGTAAAGAAGTGCCCCCTCATATTCAGATGGAGAGACCGGGCAGTGGAGGAAAAGAAAAGGGTTTCTGTTGCCTTTTTGAGCTGATGGAGCCCGCATAAGAGTGAAGGGGCAATCACAGCTGGTGCAGAGGGGCCAGCTGGGGACAAAGACCTGCATTTTGGTTAGCTAGATCAGCTCTGCCATCTCGTGGAGCTTCTCCCTGAAGTACCCGCTGCTCGCTCTGCAGTCTGCCATTGGTGTTCAGATAGTGTTGACCAGCGTGCTGTAGTCTCCAGAGGGCAATCATCTGCTTGGGAAATCTCCCGTGCAGTTTGGCTCAATCCCCCCTGCCTGGCAGCAGTTCTTGGAGGGGCTCGATACCAGAACAGCACTGGCTGGGAATTACTTGGCTTCAGCTGTGCTGGCAGTGCTGGTCTGGGAAGCGATGCCCAGCGCCTGCACACCTCACAGCCATCTCCTGCCAAAGTTGTTAGGCTTGATGCACCACCAAGCACCAAGTTCCTCCAGAGTCTGAATAAAGCAGGTCTCCTTGCTGCTGTGTGGCTCTCATTATCCAATTATTTGATTGCAATTGAAGAAAACCCATAAATATCAACTGATGATGTAAAAATGTTTTTAACTAGGGTTAAAAATGTTGATGGCATAGTTTATTTTCTGTAAACATACATACATACATACATACCCTGTGCTGCTAAATAACATTCAGTAAGATGTTACCTTTGTATTTGAAAACCTTAACTCCAACTATACCTTGATTTTTCAGTTTCTCAGGAGCAAGGTATGTCTTTCTGCAGCCTTACAAAGTAGAAAACCATGCATTTCCTTCTTTCCTTTCATATTTACACTTGCAAGGCATTTTCTGAACTGTGTTGTTTACATTTTCTTCCCAGTTGCTCTGTGGTACCCACAGCTCCCTAGCCAGGGGTCAGAGGAAGAGGCAAATTATTTTATTTTTTATTTCCATGTGGTTGTATTTAGTTTGTATGATGCAACGCTGTCCTAAGGATGTAATGGTCAGCTTGACCTCCTTACAAACACTGAGCAAGTATGTGAGAAAACCTTCAAAAAGCCGTGAGAGGATTCTGGGGTCTCTCAGCAGAGAAGAAAAATTTTTCTTGGCCGCCCATGGTGAGGACTAGACTGGGCCATTGACTGCCACGGAGTATTAAGAGCAGCCTTGTAAGCAGGAGAGGTCACCATTGACTGGGCTTACTCGCTGGTTTTCCACATCAGGTTATTTCATTTCCTTTCATGGGTATATTTCTCCTTGAAAGGTATTTATTTAGTTCCCTGCTTCCTCTGTAGTCATCATGACACAGCCTCACTTCACATCTGCTGCCTTTGGACATGAATAAGGACCATGCACCATGACCCGGCTGTAAGCAGGGTCTCCTGGCTCTGTCACAGAAGCCACAATATTCAACCAGGGCAGGACATGGAAAGACTGTCTTATTCTGCATGGTGATTGTGAGAAAAGGAAACAAATATGGAATGTTTTGAAGCTCAGGTTTTCTTTTAACTTTGGTGTTCCATCTTCTGGCCAAAGAAATGATTTTTTTTTCTACCAGTACTGTTAGGATTTTACACTGGGGGGGAAAAAAGTCTCAAATCTAAGACTGGGTCTTTTGGTATATGATATAATATCTGCAATGAATTAAAGTCATTAACTTAAGTAAATTGTTTTATGTTTTACAGGAAGTGCTTTAACGTTTGGTATTTTTATGACAGCACTAAAATTCCAGAAGAAATTTTGTATCCATAAATTTTTTTTAGCACATGCAGGCTTCCTCTTATAGCATATATGAACATGCTACAGCAAATAAAACAGTTCTATTATTAACTTAAAAAAAAATTAATAGCACGTCTTTGATACACCTCTGATAGATCAGTAGGCTGACTTGTTCACAGATTAGTGTATTAGGGCACATCATTATTTTTATATGAAAGACAGTTTTACCAAAGGAAATAGACATTGCTGTTACCAAAATGCCATTCCAGCCAAAATTGTAACAATAATAGAAAAACTTTTTAAAAGAAATCATTTGTTGTTACTGACAGCCCCAGGGCCGCTGTGGGGAGGGGACCATTGCTGGTTCCAGGCAGCCCGCTGCCTCCCTGCAGAGAGAAGCCCAGCAGGACATGAACAGTGTAGATCACATCTGAGAGCTGAGGAATAAAGAAGGATCCCTCTTTCTTTATTGTGGAGAGGTCTGATCAAAGAAGGTTGCCCAAAGCCCCGTCCAATCTGGCCTTGAACACCTTCAGGGATGGGACACCCACAGCTTCTCTGGGCAGCCTGTGCCAGTGCCTCACCCTCAGAGTGAAGAATTTCTTCTGTATATCCAGTCTAAATCCACCTTTTTCCAGCTGAAAACTGGAAAAAAACTGCCACTTGACCTGCCACTACTGGCTGTGGTAAAAAGTCTTTCTCCATCTTTCTTATAAGCCTCCTTTATATATTGAAAGATGGCAATAAGGTCTTTGAGAAGAAAAACAAACAAAAAAAAAAAAATTGGGAGCGTAGGCAGAGCAAATAAGCAAATTACCCGTGCCACCCTACTGTGCCACCAGTAGCTTTCTCAGTGATGTTCACAGAAGTGAGAGCAAAGCGTGTTTATTAGGTTAAGCTCTGAGCCTTGAATTTCAAAATATATGTCTTGAACATAAATCTTACAGTATATATCTTCTCAGTATGCTTGTGGGGAGCAGGGGAGATGGGTTGGTTGTATGCCAGTTTGCAATTTTTATGCTGTTTTCTTTGATAGTTCCTCACCATGTAATTTACTTTGCTGTCCAGTATCTCCTGACTCACTAATAAAACCTGATTTACAGAAGCGTAAGATGAGAGGAAGGGGAAAATAAACAGGCTTTTGGAGCCAAATGTGAAACTAGTTAGGGCTTACGTTCTGTGAAGAGCTTTTCTGCACTGAGTTCTCAGATGCTGATGCTGCAGCCAGGGCCTTATACCCCACACGGCCCTAGGGTTGCCCAAGGCACTTGTTGGTATAGTGGATGCTCTACACAGCCCCCATGCTGCTGAGCAACTCTGGCTCTTAGAGGGTGTGGTGCCCACAGAAATGTTCTCTGTCCCATCTCATTTACTTTATAAAGTATGGATGGTGTTTACCTAGACTTTAATTAAGCTTTTTACACTGCTTCCCACAGCATTCTTCTGGAGAAACCGGCTGATTATGGCTTTGACAGGTATACCCTTTGCTAGGTAAAAAGCTGGCTCTGTGGCTGTGCCCAAAGAGGAGCATTGGTTGATAGCTGGCTGAATATGAGCCGGCAGTGTGTTTAGGTGGCCAAGAAAGCCAATAGCATCCTGGCTTGTATCAGAAACAGCATGGCCAGCAGGACTAGGGAAGTGATTGTCCCTCTGTACACAGCTCTGGTGAGGCTACACTTCGAGTACTGTTTTCAGTCTGGGGCCATTGAGATCCTGGAGCCTGCCCAGAGAAGGGCTATGAAGCTGGTGCAGGGCCTGGAGCACAAGTCCTGTGAGGAGCGGCTGAGGGAGCTGGGGGTGTTTGGTCTGGGGAAGAGGAGGCTCAGGGCAGACCTCATTGCTCTCTGCAGCTACCTGAAAGGAAGGTGCGGGGAGCTGGGGATCGGCCTCTTCTCTCAAATAACCAGTGACAGGACTAGAGGGAATGGTTTCAAGTCATGCCAGGGGAGGTTCAGGTTGTATATTAGGAAAAATTTCTTCACTGTAGTGGTTGTGAGGCATTGGGACAGGCTGCCCAGGGAAGTGGTTGAGTCAGCATCCCTGGAGGTATTTAGAAGACGTGTAGATGTGGTGCTTAGGGACATGGTTTAGTGGTAGACTTGGCAGTGCTAGATTAACAGTTGGACTTCATGATCTTAGAGGTCTTTGCCAACCTGAATGAGTCTATGATTCTATGGTTAGTCACTGGTTTCCTGTCCATGTGTACCAAGGCTATTGCATTATAAAAGCACATGTTGAAGAACGATGGGAGAGGAGTTTTGCAAAGATACGATTCTTTCATCTTTGCATATGTTGTCTTACTCTTTCTTTAAGTCCTTCTGGAATCAGTGAGTCTGCCTGCAGAATAAGGGTCTACTAGGCGCTAGATAAGGGTGGTGGAATTCAATCCGATTTACAGGAGTGTTAGTGAGCTGAGTAAAACTAGAAATGGGGTGCAGTTCCTCAGGGTTCAGTAGCTATGCCTAGTCTTTTGAGAAATGAAAGATAGTCCATAATTAGATGGCTGATGAATCAGGAAAATGATAAATACTTTCTAATAAGCTCTTCTCTCAGTGAGGGTTTACACAATAGGCTCAATTCTGAACATCTCAGGAATGTAATCAATGGTGATGTATGTTTTTATACCAGGAGCAAGCTGTGTGAATTACAAGTTCATTCCAGTCATTGTATGAAGCAGAATAATATAAATAAATAAAATAATCATTGTCTAAATTTGATTTATTCTGGCCCCTTCTTGTTTCCCCTTGGGTGTATTCAGAAGAAAGAAAAGTCTGAAAATAATATCCTAACTATTTTAAATATATAATTCATTGTAAAAGTCAATCCATATGTCATGCTTTGAATCATGCATTAATCTCAAAATAAAAATTGTGGTTTTTGCAGAAAGACATTATAGAACAAATTTATTTTTTTTCTTCTGCAACTTTCTAATAAAATGTAGCAAGTATTAAAATGACTGGTAGATTCCTTCTAAGGTACTTGGTATAGCCTCAGCACAATTCTTTGATTCTGAGGTGTCCGTGTAAAGTGTGAGATAAATAAAACAATTGTTAATAAAGAAAGGAAAACACAGTAATCAACCTCATTTTCTTTTCTCTCACCCACAGGACATTAATGTATGTATCCTTGAAAATTACCCCGAATGTTCCAATCCCAGGTTATTTTATATCATACCATATTTCTGTGGACAGCATCCAAGATGCAGGTAAATAAATATAAAAGGTATCTCAATTTGTTCACTAGTAGCCATTGACAGCATTTTGTCAGAAACTGGTAATTTGAGACAACATTTATTTCAAGTACAAGAGAAAAGTGTAAGTACAGTGTAATTCTGTATGTGGCAACTGCATGTGTATATTTTGGAATAAGAGGGGTAGGATATTTTTTCTTCTGAGTTGGCAGAGTGACCTTATGCGCTTGTTAACCATTTTACCTGTACGGTAATTTTTTAGTATGCATTTTAGTTTTGCTCAGATGCTTATACCAGATGCTGTAAGATGCTGTATCTTAGGAACCCTAGGTTTCTGTTTCTATGAAAAAATAGTGAACATGCTTAAAATTATGTAAAGGGGAGCCTTCTACTGCTGTAATTGAATTAGCTCATTTTTAATGTGTCTATTTTTGCCATTCTCATGTTGCTGTATTATTGATGAGGCATAATAAACTTTCATGCAGTGTGTGAATAATTTTAAATACCTTCTTGTTTTCAAATATTTTTATATTTTGGGTCACAACACATTCTTAAGTAGGCTTGTTCAACTTCAAGGTATTATATATTTATTTATTATTATCACATTTCCATAATGGAATAGCTGTGAATATTTTCAAAAATTTCTTACAAAAGCCATACTTTCTTCTAGCTGTAATAACAAGTAAAAATGCATTCATATTTTTGTCTTTTTGTCTCTGTTTCTATTTGCTGTAAATTTCTACTTTATTTCTTGGCATAAAGGAAGATAGTATTGAGAAACAAAACAGATTCATGTCTTCATTAAACATTTTTTTCTTTATATATTTTGGCTTCATTTGCAAATACTTATGGTCGCATATTTGACTTGCATATATGAATAATCCCATTAACAAGAGTGGCACGCATAAATACTTTCACAATATATCTCTATGAGGTTCCTGAACATTAAAATACTGGTTTTTAGCTTGTTCTAGATCTGTCTCCTATCATGCAGTGGCTACAGGTCTGAGAAGAATCATGTCTTTAAACTCATTTTCAAGATGAAGTTCAGCATTACAGCCTCTTCGGCTGAGTGTGAGGAGTCCTAAGACCTGCTTTCTCTAAGATGTCATGGCCTCGCTGGGAAAGCTTAATGCAGTCTCCAGCAGAAGAGCAGGAAATGATATTAAGAAAGGTCCTAAATCCAGATGGGAATTGGCTAGGACAGACCACCTATCTTCATGATGTCGCACAACTGAAATACAGGATGGTTGTCTCTTCAGACCCATGGCAAGAGAAAAACACACACTGCTTTTGGTCATGTGGTGGATATATGTCCAGCCACATGTAGCACCACATACGCATTTTCTGTTGCAGGAACTGATACGTGCTTGTCTTAGGACATAGCCTGTTGGTATGATGGAGATGCGGTAGTTTCCTGCTAGTTTCTGTCAGTGAGGGAAAAGATAGAGTAACCCCCAAATGATCTTTGAAGCCAATATCTGTCAGCGAAAACAAATGTGAATCCTGTATCAGATCTGCAGGGCAGTCATGGGGTACTGGCAGAGAAAGGGAAGCTCCTGGAGACCTTGGCAGACTTTGTCCTTAACCCAAGGACAAGGCAGGAAACAGGCCAGTTGCCCCCTCTGTGGCATTCACTGGATAACAAAAGGCAATGTTTGCATGCAGCAGTTCTCCTGGTGTTGTTCAGAGTTATTGCCAGAGTCGTCCCCTCAGAGCCATTCATCACCCGGAAAAATAATTCCTCCAGCAAGATGGGTTCTGCTTCTGAGCAGAAATGTGTGAATTCACACGTGTGAGCTTTTAGACATCTCTGTGGAAGTTATCTATGGAACTGGGTACTTCCATACAGTTTTTAACCTCATTTTAATGTGGTCATGTTTTTACATGTTAAATCAAGTCTAGATGTTGTGTGGAAAATCTCAGTAAGGCACACTAGTTTTTTGTCTTGTTCTGTTTTTTAATCTTCTCTTGGAGGAACAGCATTCAGCACTGAATATTTTTCCCCCTGCAGTTGTCTTCTTGGCTTGAATTTCTGAAGTAAACACATATTTAAACAGTCATTCCTTTTTCTTTTCTTTTTTGTTTTTTTTTTTAATTCCATTCCTCTCCCTCTGTTAATTTCATACAGGGAACCTGGTGAATGGGCCCTTGAAAGAGCAAAGCTGAACGTTAATGAAAATTTTCTGCTTGTGGGTATTCTGGAGGAGTTGGAAGATGTGCTGCTTTTATTAGAAAGATTCTTACCTCATTATTTCAAGGATGTGCTTAGCATCTACAAAAACCCAGGTAACTTTTTCCATTATACAGCTATTTTCACAGAAATTTTGGCAAATTTAAATAACTACGGAAAGGTAGACTATTTATGTCTTATTTAGTCAATGAAGAGATTTATCTTCCTTTTAGGGAGCAAATTTGATTGATGGAGAAAGGTATGTATTCTGCTTTTATTCTTAATATCTTTGTGTGGTTTTCATTCCCAGGCAAGCACTTGGTGCTCCAGTAATCTTGCCACATGCTGGAAAGCTTCCCAATTATCACTAGAGTGACTTTTTCTTCTTTTAATTCTGGCATAGTGAGCTCTCAAATAATGTTGCCATTTCTCAGAATGCTGTTAGCAATATCTACCTAAGGAAATCTGGAAGAAATTGGTTGGGGAGCTGGACCGCGAGGATTCTTGATTACCAGGCTATTTGTTTTCCCTTAATCGTGTGTGAGAGTTGCTAAGATTTTAATCAATTATGTTGAAATAACTGTTCACTTAAACAGAGATTGAGTACAAATAAAAATACAAATTTACAGCACGCTGAATAGAAAGCATGGTCAGAAAAAAAGACTCAGGTGGCCTTCAGCAGATAAATGAGAACAGAGATAAATGAGAACCTCTTAATTTGCACTGTGGCATCAACCTGAAAGGTTTCTTTCATTGTGTTCAGTCCATCCCTCCCAATGCTCATTTTCTGTTAACTTCTTTAGAAGATGGTTTTGTGTCCCATGCTTAAATCGAAGAATAAGATGTTCCTGTTTTTGCAGAACTGATCTGCTTACGTTTGACTGGGTAATTAACATGGTATGAACTAAGGAGGGGTAAAACTTCCTTTCTTTCCTGGTGACTCAGTTGCATTCATGTCAATTAGAAATGCCTACAGCCACTGAGAAGTGTGTTTTGTACCGATTTATATATCAAAAACACATTAATCAAATGTTGAATATTGTTTGTAGTGCACTAAGCTTATCACTGGCTTTTGATTGAGAGCAGCTGTAACAGTAATCAGCCACCTTGAAAAAATTATGGATTTCAGTGGTGACTGTGTACCAGTCCCTATTTCTAGGACAGATGTCTGGAAGTTTTGTATTAAGCCATGATACAGATATTACAGGGAAAGTTCTCTTTTCTTTGTAAATTAAAAAATAAATAAATAAAATAAAAAGAAATTTTTAGCATGAGGAAGTCTTCTTAAAGTTTGCCCAGTTCTGTCTCCAAAATTTTTCCATAGGAATGCTAGACTGGAAGGAGATTGGGGATCACTAGAAGGACACTCTCTGTAATCAGCAGATTTTTCAGTGGGAATCTGTAGGGTTTCCTCAGCTGTTCTATGCAGCATAGATTTTCACTTCTTTTCCAATATGGGAAGCTAATAAACAACACACAGGATCTTGATTTTTCATCAGAGTGCCCTTGAAATCATCAGAAGTGAAATAAATAATCTCCCAGAATCATTAAGTGCTGGATAATCTCTTCTTTGTGTATATCCCATTATATATGGGAGGTTTGACCCACGTTTCGGGGTAGTGATTTCCTCTTCTCTGGGATTTCGTGCATAAGACCTGTCTTGTCATTTCTTTGCTTCAATATTCCCTATGTGGATTAAAGTTTGTTTTATTCTTTCCATTCACTGATTAACAAGGAGTAATAGACAGGAAACCGTTTCCCTTTGTTAACCCTTCTCTGCTCTTTTCATACATGCAAGGGTGTATTGTGTGATTTATTCTTTTTAAGTCACAAAAGACTTAACAGAATCAGTCAGAAAAAAAATCCAAGTGCTTTGTAAGAAATCCTATGTAATTCTTTTCAGTGCACCTTAGACCTGATCTGCAACACCCTCTGCTGTTGCATCATGAAGTGCTGGGAGGCAGAGATGCTATTCTCCTGCCCAGCTGTGTGGTACCCCACAGAGCAGCAAATACCTCAAGCCAAACACGACCTTTTGTTGTGACTAACGCTTGCAGATAATTCTATAAAATGTACAGTTTTGTGTGCTAGCCTGCTGTTCCACCTGAGATACTATAATGGCAGTCTGTCTTTTCTTCATATAAAAAAGGTAAAGCTTTGCCAGAACTTACTTTTTATCAATTTCTCATATTCAGATGAGAAAAATACAGTGGAAGGACTTGTATGGGGGGTGGGGGGGTGGGGAGGAGGATTTATTCCCAGGCTAATGAGTCTGCACCAGAGCTCACTGCAACAAGCAGTTCTGGATTAGATACATTTCAAAAACTGAATTTATAGAGCTGCTTAGCAGCAGAAATTGGTTGAAGGAAGGCAGTCTCCATCCTTCAGTGGATTACATGCATTAGAAAGTAGAGTAACAACTTGGTGGCTGGTCTCCCACCAACATTGGAAACTAAGCAAAATTAGGAGCACCTGCCTCCCACTGTAGGTAGTAAACTGCTGGTTGTATTCATGTCCATAAAACACTTATGCTCCACAAGGTGACCTTTGGACATGGCCATACCTGCACTTCTTGATCTGCTGGAGGCTGCTTTGGGCATCTTGAAAAGCATCTAAGATACAGCTGTGGCAGTTCTGGGTTAAACCCTTTCTTCTCAAAGTTTGGGCCATCCTTCTCATTACAGGTGCTCTGGGTGGAAACCAGCTTGCTACAGCTCTAATCTGAGCAAATTTGTTATTATCAGGAACCTTCAGGGTAGGGTGATAATAGCACATGTCAGTAAATATGGAAACTTTCTTTTCCTCATCTCTGCTTTTTTAACTACACAAGTCTTATTCAAGTGTTTTTTTCTTTTCTTTGTCTGCAGTAGAATTTCTCATCTGAGACAGCGGTCAATAATTTTTAATAAACACTCTTGCTCAGTGTTCTTCTCCTAGCAAGAAAACAAAGCCTGGAGCCTTTTTACCATCAAAAAATACTTTGCTATTATTGCTCTGAAGCAGAAGAGCAATAAAATTGCGGCTCTGTTGATCAGATAGTAGGACATTTACATCAGAGAGAACATAAACTGAAGTGCGGCTGTCTATCTATGTAGTGACAGAGATAACTGCGCAATGTAATGTGACTTAAGGGCATTTGTTGGTGACACAAGATTTATTTCATCGTGTCTTACATAAGCTGACAGGAGGAGACTGATGGAAGGTAACTTTTAAAGAAATTTCAATGTCAGAGAATGTTAGAAGAATAATTGTCCTCATTGCATTGATAACAATGGTTCCTTGAGCTAATCCATATGCCAAATATTTTGACTTGTGTATTTTATAACAGTGTGCAACAAAATGTGACAGCTCTTTGTTGTGCTAAAGCTTTCATTGGAACTATTAATCTTGTAGCATTCTTTGCAGCTCTGTTTCATTTGTTTTGTTTTGTTTTTTCCCTTTTCTACTCTCTCCTTGAAGTTAAGTATCATGTTAATATCGATATCAAATCAAGCATTGCAAAGGGACTCCTCTTTTTTAAGTGCCAGTCTTGTCCAAAAGTAAGAAACAGAATCACAGAATGGCCAAGGTTGGAAGGAACCCCTCTGAAGGTCAGCTAGTCCAAGCCCCTGCCAAGCAGGATCACCAGAGCACACTTCCCACCTTGATGGCCACAACTGCTTTTGACAAGAGATCAGAAGTAGTGAGAGGATAATGCAAAATATACATGGATATAATTAAAAAAGAAAAAGAAAAAAAAGTATTACTTTTTTTTTTTTACTGGATTTCTGTTCTGTGCTAAGCAGTAGAAGCTGCTTGCTGTTCTGTCGTTCCTTCATTTTTTCCTCATCATTGGAGCAGATAGGGTCCAATTGTGGAGCCTTGGGTAAGTTTTACTGCAGAATTTGAAAGTATTCCTTTGCAATGTGAAAGGCCCAAAATAGTTACAGAATAACTTCACATGCAAAATCTCTCCTCACTCTCAGGAGCACAACTGAAGGAAAAATAATTGGTCAGTCCTGTTCATTTTTGGTGGTTATAGCTCTTTTCCATGGTCTGGCTGGTAGCCAGAAAGTGGAGAATGCTTACACAGTTTATTTTTAAATGGGCACGGGTGGGTTTTGTATCTTTGGTGTTTTAAAGGGGCAGAAAATGCACACAAAGCACAGAAGAGCTTTTTTTTTTTTGCCATTTCAACTTCTCTGACATGGGGTAAAAGTTAACAGCATCTAATGTAAAAGAATAGGCAATAAAAAGGTTTTTTTAATCACCTCAGAAATAAGCCTTGTCCTCTTACCTTTCTGTAGGAGTTCAGAAATTTTCTTTGGCACTAGAAGCCCTATAAAAACACTTCTTCCCCATACCAGAACTTTGTTTCTTGAACATTACACTTTGCTATGAAGGACATACAGATCTTACTGGAAAGCAAAAAGACCAACTTAGACTTTTCAGACAGTTATATTTATTGACTGTAATGAAATTACTGATCCTGTCAGCTGGAACAAAATATATTGTTCAGGTAAGGTGTAAAATGATTTGTTTTGAAAATGTAATTCTTAGAGACAATCACATTTGCAGAGAATGGTTTTAAACATAGTAATACTGTCCTAGGTAATATAAAAATGCTGATTTTCTTAAATCATTTTGTATTCATGAATGCTGATGATAGAGATTTGTTTTTGTTTTTGAACTTCTCATTCTTTTTAAACTCAGTAAGGAGTGCACTGCTGCCATTTGTCTGTATTGCAAGGCTGAGGTCCTGTGACACAGATATAAACCCTTCTTTGGTAGAGTTAGGAAAAAGATGAGATAAACTTCATTGAAGGTGTAACGTGCCTTCAGATGGTTCTTGTGCTGGAAGTGGAAAAGAGCATTTTTTCCACTCTGTCAAAATAAAACTCTTTGCAAGTGGAGAAGGCTGAGAGAGGCTTTTCTTTCCTTATCCCCCATTCATGACATCGCTTCTTTCGCAGTGCTCCCCCAGAAAAGAAAGACATTTCTGATACCTTTAGTACCAAGTTCTCCAGGCAGCCGTTCTGGCATCCTGTTCTTAGAGTGCTCCAGCACCCAGGACATGGATGCTCTGCATTTGGAAATGTTCAGAAAATCAGTTCAAATGAACTGATTTTCATTGCTA